CTCTCTCTCAACCTCAATCTCTTCTCAACTTCATCATCCTTAACCCATTTCACCTTCCCATTTATTTTCCTCTCCCGTGCTCATTCTGTTCTGTACTCTCACTTCATCTGCTGTCTTTGTTTTCGTGTCTTCTTCTTTGCGCAGTGTCGCGTCGACGAAGATCATTTTTTCTTCTTCATACTACCCAGCGACGCAAGATCTGCGCGCCAAACACCACAAGTTTGCAACGTACTTTTCTCTGACATATCATCTATTTCACCTGTCTCCTAAATCTCATCCCCCCTCCATATTCTCTCATCCCACTTCGCGTCGTCCCAATAAGTGGACTGTCAACTACCCAGCCTTCTTCAGTCAGATAGTAAGTACACCATCCCTGGCAGCCACTCATGTCCACCCTGCATCCTTCTTTGCATAACCCACTAACAGCCAGCAGTCATTCGCTGTGACTCGTGTGTCCTGCCCACAAGGATTCAACTCGATTTCAAACATCTTATGGTAAGTGTCGCGTCTTTTCCATCTTTTTTTTTGTATGGCACAGTTTCCCAGTGTACTTGCCGGTCAGATCTTGATCCATGCATTTTGGCCCGACCGTATCTGATGTTTCATGCTTTTTCTCATGTTACATGTCGCGTTCACTGGGTTTACAATGTTTCGCAATTCTTGTGTTCGCGCTGGTCCATGCCTCGTGCCTTCGGCCTTGGAACCGCGGAATTGCGCTACGATTTACTGGCGTCTTGGCACCGCAGGCGAACCCACGCTGACCATCTATACAGATTCTTTCTTGACATTCTTCATTCTCCATTTGAGACCTGTGTTTTTTTTTTCTTCTTCTTTTCTCCTGGGTATTGAAACACTTATACCCCTCTTGTTCTTTTTTTCCTCCACTGTTTATTTCCAAAATGGCCCCCATCCCAAGGGCCGATTTGGATGTGGACAATCCTTCATCGGATATTGGTGACAGCCAGGACTCCCCGCTACGTCGTCAATTTTCTGAACCCTTCCGTCCCCAATCTACATCCACCCAGATCTCTCAGTCTCCAGAGCCCGTGCCTCGACGGCTCAAGTGTGACTACTGTGGGAAGCTTTTGATGCTCCCAAATGACGCAGGCATCTCTAAAGAAGATGTTCTGAAGGATCACGTCAACGAAGTTCACCCGAAAACCATCAGATTTTCTGGGTATGATGGTGCCGAAGACGGCGCCGATGACACTTACGACGAGAATGGCGATCTCCAAGATGACGACGCCATTGAACATGACGAGCCCATGGTCCAAGCTACCAAGCCCGAAGATGGCGAGGCTCAGGATGAAGAAGGAGAAGAGATCGCAGTGGAATTGACCACTGACGATAACAATGGCACCCAGCCAACTACAATCCAAGTCAATGCCAGTCAGATCCCCGAAACGAAACGTGATCTGTTGGACTGGCTTTCCAACCCGCGTACTGGATATCCTGAGGAGTATCGCCTCCGCGAGGCACAGTGGCGACGTCCAGATGTGAAAAAGCGCCTTGAGCGCTTCTGGAAAGTTCACGATACCAACGAATTCTCCCCCGACTACATCCAGGAAGCTGCCAAGTGTGAATCCACTTGGGACAATGCTTTCCATGACCCTTCGAAGACCAGGAAACGTGACGCTCCTGAACCAGCTCCTCACCCGCTTCCATACAAGAAGCCCAAGGTCGAGAAAGGTCAGTTCCTCGAAGTACAGGCTCAGGAACTAGATGAGCTTGTCAGCATGCTCCGCAATCCCGAAAACCACACACCCGAAGAACTCTACGCACTCACACAGACCGCCGCATTCACCTTGAAAACACTCCAAGATGAATATCTAGCCCTTGACAACCTTTATCTCAAGGCACACCGACACAAGCGAGATGAACCCTCATACCAAACAAAGCGACATCACATGCAGGGTCACAAGAAGAAGGGTGGAGCCCCTCTGGCTAACGTCAATGAGGACAAGCTTGACTTCGAGGAAAAGAAAGAGGCCATGCTTTATGGCTACAAACACAACTACTTCCCGGGCAACACACCACTTGTGCCCATCCGCACACAGCAGGATCCGTTTGTGCAGGGAGGCTTTGTTCCAACTCCCGCACAAGCCAGAAAGATGATTGCGAAGAGCAAGGAGAGTGGTGATCTCAACCCTGATGGGTGGGCGACCATGAAGAAACATGGTCTTGAATACCACGCTCAGATGTACGAACCTCGGCGTGAGCCCCTTGTGCCGAAAGTCACTCGGAAACGCAAGGCCGCCGAGGTTGAAGTACCAACCAAAACCACTGAGTCGGAAGAGACTCAGAATGAGAGTGCGGGTGGTGATGAAACCGACGATGATAACCACCCGGCAAAGCGGCGCGCCCGAGGCCGCGGCGGCAAAACTGTCGTCGCCGATGCAACTCACTCCGACGCAAACTCTCGCAAGAGCTCTGGCCGTGGCCGTGGCCGCGGACGTGGCCGTGGGCTTGGTCGCCTTGGTTCCTCCCGAGCTACCTTCGAAGTCACCCCTGCCCCAACTCAGATCTCATCTCGGGGCAGGGGTCGACGTGGCGCTAGCAGCCTGGCCTCCTCATCGATCCCTCCAGCAGAGACCTCCTTCCCGGCCGTCGAACCAATGGCCGCCGCGAGCCCTGTCGAGTCCACCTCGACATCGGCCAAGAAGGAGGCTCTCTCTGCTGAGGCGATCGAGGAGGCCAGGCGCCAGAAGATCGCCAATTCGAAGAACCCCAAGAGGACCAAGGCGATGCTCGATCATTGGGACCGGTTCAACCGGGAAGGACGGATTCGCAACCCAAAGCGATCCAAGGCCCAGATCGAGCAGGACCGGACCGTCGACGGTGCCGCCGACGAGGTCCCCAAGCCCACTGGCCCCGGCCGCCGCAAGCGGTCGCCTTCGCTGGCACCACTTGCTGGCAACCTCGCCCCCAAGGGGCCCATCGGCCTGCCCTCAATGGCAAGCGTACAGGCGCAGCAGCAGCCCATGCCTCCCACCCTCCCTCCTATGGGGGTGGTGCCTCACTACGGCCCCGGCCCAGTGAACCCTTTTGCTGCTGCTGCGTCTGTTGCGCCAATGGCGCAACTGGGGCAACCTATGCCGCCCCAGTACGCCCCATTCCCGTATGTCCAGTACCACGGGATGGGTCCCCTCCCGGGTCATAACCCGCGGGACCCACGCCATTGAGGGTAGGCCGGCTCTCGTCGAGGCAATCCTCAGTTTTCTCTCTCTCTCACTTTAGCTATTATCTTACTTCATGTTCATCTCACTTTTTTTTACGAGTGAGAGAGAGAGGACTGGGGATTGCCTCGACACCAACTGATCATTTCTTCTTGGACCACCCCAGGGTTTGGAATGGGTCACAGGGAATCATCTTTGCCCCGGTTTATATTCACTGCTTGGTGCACGGCCCTCTTCGCGACTGGGCCGAGCCCGCGGTATAAACCGGGGTAGGGTGGTTTCCTGTGGCCTCGGACCTCCCTGGGGGGTGGGCTGGGAATGGGATGATCTGATACATTATGAAGGTACTGGTGCCCCTGGCACATACTGCCAGGGGCACCAGTACATGTATTCTAAGGCTCAAATTCATGTTGTATAAAAGTTTCGGTCTCCATCTGTAATTCTTAGCTTATACACACTCGTTTCCAAGGATTTAGTTTGTATCTTGGATTTCAGATTCGGGATTATGTTCAAGATGGATAAACGGTATATAAATCAACATCTGACCACGCTAAATCTGTATTATAGCAGATCATAGGTTTAGTATCATTATTTAGAAGTAGTATAATGGGCATTCTACTCTATTGGATAATATACAGCGTATTTTGGCGCTAGACTATAAGAAAAACCAAGGTACCATACCTCAGTCTGACATACTCCAATATATTTCGCAAGGGTAGCCCAGGGGGACAGGAACTAAATGAGAGTGAGGAAACTAGTTGTGGCAGACTGCGCAACTTAAAATTTCCCAAATATAAGAGGCAGAGAACTCCTTCAACTCCTTCAACTCCTTTGCACTACTCCGAAGTTTTCTATACTTCCTAACCACGTACTCAGCATGTGATAATGGGCGGCATCCATCATTGAAGTAACAGGGAGTGAATAAACATAAGGAAACCTGTTATAGAAAACTGAGTGACTTAGAAATATATCCCAGTTGTAAGAGGTAGAAGCAAAAAACTCTTTCAACTCCTTTACACTACTTCAAACTTCATACTTCCTGATCATATGCTAGCCACGTGAGAAGGACATGCATCATGCATGGCAAGCTTCCGGATCTGCGAAGTAGCAGAAAGTGAATAAACGTAAGGAAACTGATATAGAAAATTGGGCGACTCAGAAATTTTCCCAAATATAAGAAGTAGAAAGCAAAAACTCCTTCAACTCACTCCAAACTTCATACTTACTGGTCACGTGCTAACCAAGTGACAACGGACGTCATCTATCATGGCAAGTTTCCGGATATACGAAGTGACAGGATGTGAAGAAACATGAGGAGCCCTATTGTAGCAGATTGAGCGACTCAGGGTTTCCCTAAATATAAGAGACGGAGAGCAAAAACTCATTCAACTCGTTCACACTACTCCAGACTACATACTTCCCGATCACGTGTTGACCACGTGACAAAGGGCATCATCGAGCATCATACATCATGGCAAGCTTCCGGACCTGCCAAGTGATAGGAAGTGAATAAACGCGAGGAACCCTAGTGTAGCAGATCGCGGGACTCAAAATTCCCCCGAATATAAGAGGCGGAGAGCAAAAACTTCTGCAACTCGTTCTCACCGCTCAAAAGTTTTCTCACTCACAACTTCATACTTCTTGATCACGTGCAGCCACGTGATAAAGGGCCTCATCCATCATGGCAAGCTTCCGGATCTGCGACACATACCTCCCCTCATCCCTCCTTTGCAATCGCACACATCTTTTACGGTTTTTGAAGTCACCCTTGTCTCTGTTAACACCATCTGAATCAATCTTGTCTCTGTTAACGTCAACACCACAATGGGCAAAAAAAGACGCGGTCCCTCTCTCGAGGAGCTTCTCGATCGCCCATGGTGCTACTACTGTGAACGTGACTTCGATGACCTAAAGATTCTCATCTCTCACCAGAAAGCTAAGCATTTCAAGTGTGACAACTGCCATCGCAGACTGAACACTGCCGGAGGTAAGTTGCATTTTATCAGATAAAGTGATCTCATATACTGATGGCTTGTGTCGCTAGGTCTGTCCGTGCACTTGAGCCAGGTCCACAAGGAGCAATTGACTCAGGTCCAAAATGCGCTGCCGAACCGCATGGGCGTCGATATTGAAATCTTTGGCATGGAGGGTATTCCCGCGGATGTCCTCAAAGCCCATCAGCAGCGTGTCGCTTCACAATTCCAGCAGGCTGAGCTGGATCGCCAGCATGCGACAGGCAACCCTCCTACTGGCGCCTCTTCTGGCGGCCAACCGGCCAAGAGGCCCAAGCTTGAACCTGTCTCAGAGCTCAAGAAGCGACTGGCTGAACACAAGGCCAGGCGTGCTGAGGCGCTTGCGGGAGGTAGCAGTGGCGATGTGACACCCTCTAGTGCTGCCCAGTCTACACCAACACCCAGTGGATACGTGAGTCGTATTCTGCTGTTCTGTCCAACGTGAAGTGTATTGGGAACTAACAATTATTACTAGGCACCATCGCCTCAGATCGCAGCCACTCCGCAATACTCCTACCCTCAGCCCTATGGTGGTCCTCCCACCGCCATGACACCTCATTTCTCGCAGACTGGCAGTCCTGTCTATTCAAGCTACTCCCCAGTTGGTGGACACCAGGTCCCCGGTGCCTCGCCCTACACCCCCTCCGGATACCCCTCGCCATTTCCCGTCGGACTTCCTGCACAGCCACCAGTCTCCTATGGGGCTCCCCCTTACCACCAGCAACAGCCTCCACCATCCGATAGCAGATTCATGGGCCTGCCGGCCGCATCGAGCCTTCCTCAGCGTCCTGCTTTTGCTGTGCCTTCAGTCAACGCGCACGAAATGCAACAGATGCACATGGGACACGTCCCCCCACCCCCGCACCTTCTGGTTACTCTAATGGATCCAGCGCCCGGCCAACCGAGAATGCCTTCCCTGTTGACAATCAGATTTCAGGTGCAGCAAATGATGCCGCCTCGAAGACAGAGGGTAGCAGCAAGCCCAAGAAGGAAAAGACCAAGCCCGCGATCCGAATGATTTACAATGATGATACGCTTAGTCCCGAGGAAAAGAAGGCGCAGCTACCTCGATATGCATACGTCCCAGACAAAAGCACGCAGACCGTCCTCGGCGAGATCCCCGGCAATGCAATTGTGGGCGCCATTCAAGACTCCGACACGGTGATCGACCCGGCCCATTAAGTCCTGCTCTGTTTTTTTTTTCCTGCTGCGTTTGCAAGTGGTGGAGTTACGGAACCCAGCTAAGTCGACACACCAAAACTTCTAGTTACATATGAGTATTCTCCTGGCTGGATCTTTGGTTTCATCAGTGGCCCTGATTCCAAACCCTAGTCTGGCGAGTCCTCCCCCGTCCCACCATCTCTCCCCCGACAAACCCAGGAAACGTCGTTAATGTTTGAGTACGATGCTGCGAGATGAAAAAGGAAAACTCAAAAAAATTCGAAAACAAAAAAAAAGAAAGAACTGAGCGGTTCCCTTGAGCTACTCGTTCGGCCTACGTACAGTACGTGCCTGCCCTTTGATCCTCCCTCCTGGCCCCCCACTGGAGGTTTAACCCTGGCCTGGAGGAGTTTGTTTGATGTGAATGCCGAGATGGCAAAAATGATGCCATCTACGGCTGCTGTGAGTTTTAGCGTTTCTCCGGTAGGCTTCTCATTATCTACCAATGCATGTTCGATTATGATGTACCTTGTATCCGTAAAGTAGCACCGATATGTACAGCATCCAACTAGAGCCAATACGCAAATAGCCGATACAGACTGACATGATATACGGATATCACTAAGGAACAAACAATGATTACACTCCATCATCTGTCTTTAACATTTTCAATTCCATTTCCATTTCAATTCCAATCCTTACGCCCTCTTCTCCCTAAACGCAACCCCAAAAACAAAAAGCCCATAAGTAGCTAGCACCGACAAAACGAGCGGAACAGGCTTTCCGCCCGTCTTGATCACACGCGGGATCGAGCTTCCGCCTAGCACTGCCGAGGCCAGGAGCCCAAGTTCCTCGCCGTAGGTTTGGCCGGCGCGCAGGCGCAGGAATGCGAAGAGGTAGACGAGGCCGACGGATACGCCGGCGGCGATTGAGGGGATGGATCCAGTCCGTGTGTAGCCGATTATCCCGCCAACGCTGGTTAGGAGGGAGAGTGCTAGGGCGGAGCTTGTTGCTGATGCCTGGGTTTGTTAGTTTTGGGTTATTTAGGACAGATGTAAGAGATGGGTGGTGGCATGGTGGTGATGGTTCGGATTTGGCATTGGAGGGTCGGACTAGGGTGGATTGGAGGTGCGGTGTATGTATACCCAAGGACATACCATCTTGTAGGTTTTAAGGCGGGTTATCTCTTCTTTTCCGCTTGTTAAGAGAATTGTAGGTCAAGAGAAAGAGGGTGAGATCAGGAGAGATGTAAGTAACGCAGACGAAGCTCGGTCATGCGATTGATTAGTCAGATGACGAAGTCCGGGGTAATGTGCACGCATAATTTAATGCTTGGAACTATATAATTATGTGTTGGGAACTGTTTACATGACCCCGATTCCTCGGAAGACTTGTTCATATTGATATATCTGTGCATCCTCAAGGCCAGCGGTGCTGTATATCCAACTCTCTATCATACCGAGGTAAGAAGTCTGCTTACCCATTTACAGCAACAACTGGGTCGCAGCACCAATTCGATCCTGGATGATGGAGCTCCATTTCTAAAAGCCCATCACTTAGTAATTGTACCCAAGGCAAAAAAGGGTCGCAAATAAACACATACCTCGGCATTCTCCACGTCTCCAGCTTCGAGACTCTCTACAAGTCCAGGGTAGGTGGCTCCCGAATAACCAGTCCAAATTCCAGGGGCAAAGACGACGTGCTTGAACCATTCACGGCCATCTAGACCAGGCTGATACAAGAAAGCCCGTTCAATGCCCTTGTACTTCGCGTTGGTAGCGCGAATCTGGAACCACAGTCTCACCTTCTTCCACCAGTGGTACCAAGGCACGTTATCACCAAGCTGGGACTTCAGGTCGGTAGCAAAGGCATCGAAAGCCTTTGCAGATTCCTGGAACTCAAGAATCGCCCTATCTAGAGGTGCGAATTCGAATTGAGTGTTCTCCGGGAGATTGTCCGCCGCAGGTTTGATGTGGTCCAGGTAAGATCCAAGGCCAAGAGAATAGTCGGTGGCGTTGAGCGCAAGAAGGGGAGACTCCACCAATTGTGCCGCTGCCAGAGCCCAGAGTTTTGTGCAAGCTTGGTGGTAGAGGAAGTCCTTGTCTCCGTACTTCTCCATCCATGCGAAGCTGTCGTAGTTTGAGTGGTAGTGGTAGACCGGGTCATTCTTACCACGACCAAAGCCAAAGTCGAGACTGGCGATGCCGGCGAAATCTTGGAAGGCAGTGAAGTCACTGCCGCTGCCCATCGTCGAGATCTTGCCATTCCAGACATCGCGGACTGTCTGGCCCCGCACGGTCTGGTTGGGTGACTGCACCAGAGCGGTGACGTCGTTGATGACCTTGTTTAGCAAGGGACTAGCACGAGGTTCGAAATTAGTGCCCGCAGCAGCCACATCGACATTCAGGTATGCGATGTTGGCCTTGGAGAGCCATGGGAGGTATTCTTCCACCCACTCGGTCGAGCCGAGAAGGCCATACTCTTCGCCGTCCCAGCTGGCAAAGACAATAGTGCGCAGTGGCTTCCATCCTGCCTTGAGAGCCTCACCGAAGCTGCGAACGACTTCGTTCAACGCAGCGGATCCACTGTTAGGATCTCCTGCGCCACCAGCAATCCACGCGTCACGGTGATTACCGAGGATAACAACCTCATCGGGGATGTGGCCCTTGATGGTACCGATGACGTTCCACAGCGGGGTTGTCACATACTCCTGGAGGTTGTCGAGGTTAATCAGCACATCCTCGGGAGATGGCCCGATGTTGTACTCCACACCCTTGTAGCCGAGGCCGCCTCCCTGCCAAAACTCGTTGAAGTCCGATGCTTTGGGGCCGTGACCGTTGAGCGCCTTCAAAAATGGCAAAACCTCCTTGTACGAGATGGGGAGAGATGGGATTGAAGGGATTGAGTTGTGCGGATCTTGTCGTTCGCATCCAGGCTTAGATGCGTATCCCGGGGTTGTGGGGTCACCGGGAAGGATACCTTGTTCAAGTTAGCTTTGCAATATCAGCACCTTGGAAAAGAATCCTTACTGAGGAATTGAGTGCTACCTCTCTGGATAGCACTGGGATTCCGTGCCGGTCCATTGGGATAGGCTTCATAGCCGTTTTCCTCGGTAATTTCACCGTCTTCCTGCGGATCACTGTAGATGACTACGCCGACCATTCCAAGCTCTTGTGCACGCTTTACCTTCAAACCACGGAATATCATACCGTATTTAGCGATGGCAATCTTACCCTCCAAGGTGACGTTTGCATTGACGAGGTCCTCAAAATCCCTGTACGTGCCAAAGTTGACATATACATACTGTGCGGTCACATTGCCGGTAGCAGAATACCCATGGAACACTGGGACACGGTCTGGCAGGCCGGAAGTAGGATCCTCTTCGAGGACATCCTCCTCCAATGTTGCTTCAAAGGTCACTTCGGTCTTATCACCGGATTTCTTCAAGAGGGCTAGGCGATGATCGACCGGATAGTTGATGTAAATGTCATACGCCGCGAGCCCGGTATCCTCCACCCCAAATTCCTTCCATTTTTCCAAAGTCCAGAGCGCCTGAGACAGATTCTTCCCTGCCAAGTGCGGTCCCGCGGTATAGTATTGGCTCCACTCTCGGGCCTTATCTGCGGAAGGCACATTGAGGAGGATCTGCTGGAGCTGGTCGTAAGGCAGACCGAAGCTCTCTGGCCACGCTTCATGTGGAATTGGATGAGCACCAGGGAGATAGGACCAAATGGAGCCGTGCTCTCGAGGCAGAATGGCAGTAGGAATTAGGAACAGAAGAGTCGCCACAGAAAGTAGGGCTGCAAGGGAGATAGTACACGCTTGACGAACAGCATTGTGGGGATATCTATGCCGCGGAGGAGCGACATTGACCTCCAGCAGAGGTGTGGTCTCCGAATAAGGCATGTCTTTTTCCCTCATCTTGTATGAAGGATAGAAGAGTGAGAATGCAATCTTGCCCAGGTGGAAAGCTTCTCCGCATTGTGTCATCAACCGAGCAATCACCTTATCGGCTGACAAAGCTACCCCTCACGGACCAGCCCGCCATCAACTTGCCTCTTTGGGACAATGTTTATCTTCGATCTATAGTTAGTTAAGAGTTGCTCTTTTCTTACTAAGTAATAACGACTGACTAACTAGTTATGCGCGAATTGGTCTTTAATTGAGGATTGATACGATTGGTGTTCCAGTAGATGGAAGACAAACCATGAGTGGTATCATAATGGCTACCTATATACAATCGCTCAAAAAAAAAATAAAAAATGCATGGCCCTTGAAATGGGGGCGAACAGAGATAAATCACAAGCCACAGCCAGAAATCAGATGAAACAGTATAACACCCGTGGTATATAATGAAATCAAGTAAACCCACAATCATTCGGCATCTTTCGGTATGGGGACAACATTGAGGTCTGGATTGACTCTGTCGCCAATGTCCATACTCTCCCTCAGAATCCGACGGGCATCTTCGTCGTTGACCTTCATGTCATCCTTGACCATTAGCACAGCCAACTCAGGCACAAGGACAGACTGTGTGTAGCCAGCCACGCCGGCCGTCTTGATAAGATCATCTGTTGTCGCTAGGCGACGTATAACCACAGAAAAACGACGGATGACTGTTTCTAGTCTAGACATAGATGTTAACGTAGTCCAATTAAGCAGGGGGTTATATACCACATACATTTTGGTTGCACCCATGTTACCATAATAACCACAGGTCATCGTCTCGAGTCTCTCGTTATCGCTCACTCTTACACGGGAGTTTCTCGCTTTCCCTGGTGCGAAAGAGGTACCAAGAATATTTCGGTAATAAGAGAAAGCACCAGGGACAAGTAGTTTTTCGAGCTCGGGGAAATAGCCCTGAACGCGCTCTTCAAACCCATCCCAGTCAATGTTAGGGTACCCTCGCTCACGCCACAAGTCCATCGCACTGCGAAGCTTGTGTGATTCACAGAACATCACTTGCTCGCGAATACGTTGCTTTGGTTGTGATTTGAACAGTTCTAGCTCGTCCCAGTCTA